TACCCCTCCTCTGGAATGAATACCAGCCTGACCTCGACTGTCTGGCCTCACCTGTATCTTTGCTAATATCCAGCAAGTGCATGAGACTGGTAATTTTTTCCTATAGGATCTCGAAATATAGAATGATCAGCCCCTTATACCTTTATTTATTTATTTATTTTTTTGATAGTCACACAGAGAGAAAGAGAGAGGCAGAGACACAGGCAGAGGGAGAAGCAGGCTCCATGCACCGGGAGCCCGACGTGGGATTCGATCCTGGGTCTCCAGGATCGCGCCCTGGGCCAAAGGCAGGCACTAAACCGCTGTGCCACCCAGGGATCCCAGCCCCTTATACCTTTAAAGAGTGGTTTGGAAATTGAGGTCCAGGCCAGTCCTGGGAATAGGGGGTCCAGGATACATCGATTTGATTACGGCAGTTCTATTTAGTTGTAAAAAATTATGAGTATGGAGCTGGAAGGGCAGGGGTAAATAAGATGGGGTCCATGGAGATGGAGGTAACCTAGGTCTAGTTATGCTGTTGCTAAAACAAGCAAACAAACAAACAAACAAAACCTAACCCGGATGACACTGTTAAAGATATTTCTCAAAAGGACACATTCTGAAAAGAGAATAAGGAAGCAAACTAATATAGATAAATTAACTTCCCATTATTACACAATTCTCTCTTTTCAGTTTGAACTATTTGTTTCCCTATTTAAGTAAAAAAAAAGGTTTTTTTTTGTTTCTGTGTCCCCTTTTTATGGTTTTGCAGCAGAATGCCTGTCATGAAACATAATTGCAAATATTCAGCTGTGCACAAGAGAATAGTACTTAAGTACAAATGGAGACATGATTCTTTTTTAAATAAAGGAACACAACTCAGGTCCCACCTGGGACTCTAAAGTCTGTGTGGCAAAAACAAAAACAAAAATAGTTTTCTGATATAGAACATCCAAAATGAATTATAAAACAAACAACAGTACTTAATATCATTCCCTTAGAATAAAATCCATAAAGCATTCTCTCAAAAAAAAGAAAAGAAAAGAAAAAAGAGGGTAGCCCTGGTGGCTCAGCGGTTTAGCGCCGCCTTCCGCCAGGGCGTGTTCCTGGTAGACCCGGGATTGAGTCCCACGTCAGGCTCCCTGCATGGAGCCTGCTTCTCCCTCTACCTGTTTCTCTCTCTCTCTCTCTCTCTCTCTCTCTCTCTCTCTCTCTCTCTCTCTCTCAAATAAATAAATAAATAAATAAATAAATAAATAAATAATCTTTAAAATAAAAAAAAAGAAAAAAGAAAGAGAAGAATGTGCTACCCATGCTCTATCTTGCTTTCTTATTGGTCCTTTTGCCTCCTCTTTCCCTTTTACTATCTCTTTCAAATTTACGAAAGTGAACATATGATACTCTTATTTATTTATTTATTTTTAAGATTTTATGTATTTATTCATGAGAGACACACAGAGAGAGGCAGAGACACAGGCGGAGGGAGAAGCAGGCTCCATGCAGGGAGCCCTACGTGGGACCAGATCCCGGGTCTCTAGGATCACACCCCAGGCTGCAGGCGGCGCTAAACCGCTGAGCCACCCAGGGTACCCGAAACACATGATACTTTTAATGCCCCATGATACAAAAGAAACTGTTTTTCACAAAATGTCCTGACATTGGTAGGCCACAGCCTTCATCCTGGTCTTGAAGTCCATTCTGATGGCAGGCGGCTCACGTTTAGGTGACAGACACCCTCTCCTCCCTGCTTCTTCCTTTCACCCGTTTCAGAGAGAGAGGAAGGAGAGAGAGTCAGAAACAAAACACAAAAGACTATTTGCTGGCACGATCAAGGAGGAAGGTTTATTTTATTTATTTTATTTTATTTTATTTTATTTTATTTTATTTTATTTTATTTTATTTTATTTTATTTAAGGAGGAAGGTTTAAAAGGTTACTCACCATGCGGTTAACCCTGGAACCTTGAAGAGAGGGTGGGGGAAATGGGAAAAGAACATTAGTATTGTTTTACTTATTGAAGAAAAAAACAACAAATAAAGACCCTAAAACATAAAGAATATATAATAAAGAAAAAGAAATGAAGCCAGGGGCACAATAGAGGCGGCGAAAGAAAGAGAGAAAAGACAAATGATAAGGGCTGAAAGAGTAAAGATGTTTCAAATGTAAACCGTATATAAAACTATCACCTCTTCCCTTATTATTAATATTTTAACAGTGACAACAGAGCTAGATGTTATTTTTTAATGGTGAAAGGCTAAATTGGTTTGGGGAGGCAAGCAGGTGGGCCGGGTGAGCACAGGTAGACGATTGGGAAGGTGGGAGTGTAGGAAAGCACATCTACTCCCTGGCTGCTCAGAGCCTGTCGTGGGAGTAGGTTCTGTCTCCTGGGCTGAGCCTGCAGAGCTCTGAGAGCCCGAAGGTTGTGGTCGCCCAGGTGGGGAAAGTGTGGTGTCCGCCGCAGCCCAGCAGGTGGCAGCACATCCCAGAGATCCTGGGCTGGGTGGCTGCCCTCCCTTGGCCCCGGAGGTGCTAGTGGAGTGAGTGCGGCACCTGTCCACACGCCCTCCCTCCCTTGGTGGTGCTGGCTGCTTTTGCCTCTGAAGGTCCTTACTCAGCAACTTTGGGTAGAAGTATTTATTGGTTTCCTCTGAGAAGCCTAGAAAGCCAGTCGGCTTAGCTACTTGAAGAAGTCCTGGGTCCAGAGGCTCCTTCTTGCAGGAGGTTTGAGTGGCAGGTAAGGCGTACAGGCAGAAATGAGGGTAAGGCCTCAGAAAGCAGAGGCAGATTCTGGGATTTTGTGCTCTCCCTTGTCCTTAAAACAGCTGAGTGGGCAATATATGATAGAGAATTTTGGTGACTATGTTTTTTTATTCTTTACTAACATAAGAAACTAACATTTTCTTTTTAAATTAGAAATACAAGATAAAAACTAAACCTCTCCACCAAGATAACCCCTGTTGGCAATAAAAAATGATAATAAAATAAGATCTGTTTAAGGTTTGAAAATTTGAAATACAGAAAAGTTTATAATAAGTAAATGGGGTGCCTGGCTGGCTCAGTTGGTGGAGCATGTGACTCTTGATCTCCGGGTTATGAGTTCAGGCCCACCTTGGGTGTAGAGAGAAGTGTTTCCCTCCCATCCATCCTAAGCCTCTCTCCAAAGGAAATCACTCTTAGGTTCCTTATGATAAGAAAATTTTTCTGGGTGCCTGGGTGGCTCAGTGGTTGAGCGTCTGCCTTTGGCTCTGGTCGTGATCCCAGAATCCTGGGATCAAGTCCCACATCAGGCTCCCGGAAGGGAGCCTACTTCTCCCTCTGCCTGTGTCTCTGTCTCTATCTCTGTGTCTCTCATGAATAAATCAACAAAATCTTAAAAAAGAAAAAGAAAACAGAGCCACCTGGGTGGTGTAGTCTGTTAGGCATCCAACTCTTGGTTTTGGCTCAAGTCTGAGCCCTGCATCGGGCTTCATGCTCAGCAGGGAACTTGCTTAAGTTTCTCTCTCCCTTTCCCTCTGCCCCCACCCCGCTCTCTCTCTAAAATAAATAAATCTTTAAAAAAAAAAAAAGGGAAAACAAAGGCTATGCACATGTCCGAGTATTTCTATTTATAGTATTTGTATTTATTTTAAATCCTGAAGTGATCATATTATATATAGTGATCTAAGTCTTGTTTTTTTTCATGCTTCATGTACCTTGAAGATCTTTTATTTTTGAGGTATAATTGACATAGCAATATTGTCTTGGTTTCTGGGGTACAACATAATGATTTGGTATTTGTATATATTGCAAAACCATCACCACAAGAAGTCTAGTTAGCATCTGTCACCATATATGATTACAATTTTTTTATTTATTTATGATAGTCACAGAGAGAGAGAGAGAGAGGCAGAGACACAGGCAGAGGGAGAAGCAGGCTCCATGCACCAGGAGCCCGACGTGGGATTCGATCCTGGGTCTCCAGGATCGTGCCCAGGGCCAAAGGCAGGCGCCAAACCGCTGCGCCACCCAGGGATCCCTACAATTTTTTTTTTTTTGCTTGAGATGAGGACTTGAAGATCTTTCTACTCAACACATATAGACCTCTGTTTATCATAGTATTTCTGATGTCGATTCTGCACAAAGAGCAATGGAGCTGCCCTACATGTGCCACTCACGACAGAAGCCCTTTTTAAATTTTTTTAAATTCCTTTTTAAAATTTATCATAGTATTTTTTAATGGGTGTCCCTGTTGATGGAGATTTTGAATGGTTCCCATGGGAGCTGATATAAACATTGCTGCAGGGGTACCTGGCTGGCTCAGTCAAGTGGAGCATGTGATTCTTGATCTTGTGGTTATAGGTTTGAGCACCACATTCAGTGAAGAGATTACTTAAAAATAAAATCTTTTAGGGGTGTCTGGGTATCTGACTTCAGCCCAGGTCTTGACCTCAGGGTTATGACTTCAAGCCCCATGTTGGGTTCCATGCTGGGTGGGAGCCTGCTTAAAAAACACACACACACACACCAAAAAAAAAAAAAAACCCACAAACTTTTAGAAAATAAATAAACCCTAATGCAGTGGACATCTTTGTATATTTGCTTTGGGATACTTTTACAAGTCCAAATTCCTAGGAGTGATCAGAAGGCAAATACATTTTAAACCTTGATGGCTAAATTTTTTTTCAGGAGGGGTGCCCCAATTTACATGCCCACCAAGAGTGTGTGAGTGCCTATTTCCAGGTGGCTGTAAAGAAATCTGGCCCTGCCCAGAGCCCTTTTACATCCTTTCTGTTGACACTGGTGCTCAGCAGGAAGGAGACCCAGCTCTTCTGCTGCAGGACAGCAGTCAGCTCCCTCTATGGCTTTTGCCTCCTCCACTGCAAATCTCCTCAGAGTTTGTGAGGTGACTGTTTCAGTATGGGAAACAACAGCCTTTCTTTTAGTGAGGGGGAGTACACTTGGATTCCCTTTATTGCTTCAGTGAGATTTTCCTGTCTGTCCTGGGGTGAGAGAGTGAATAACCACATCTTCTGACTCTTCCAGGTGAAGAAGGCATATAGACAGAAGGCCCTCTCCTGCCACCCAGACAAAAATCCGGATAATCCCAGAGCAGGTGAGACTCTTCTAAGTGTGGGAAGGTGAGACCTGCTCACCTGGGCATGGTGTCTTCCCATCTCTGCTTCCGTGTGAGTGCTGGCATACATGCATGCAGCCTGGCTTTGGGTGTGTAGCTCCAGGCCTGCACTTTGCCTGCTGGGGGTGTCTGGTCAGCTGCCTATACGTCCCCCTTCCCTTGCTGGTCCATCATCTGCTGATGTCGCCCTTCCTACCAGCCTGTGGCTTCTTTGAAGTGCTTTTCCAAGGGAGCACACCATCATCAAGCCTGACTTCATTTTTTTCCTCTTTTTTGATCTGTATTTTTAGCTGAGCTCTTCCACCAGCTTTCTCAGGCCTTGGAGGTACTGACCGACACTGCAGCCAGGGTAAGCTCCTCCTCCTCTATGAATTGACCCCTGTGGTTAGAGACCACTCTGACACCTCGGCCTCAGTCCCCCATACTCTGCCATGCAGCAGTCCTTGCTGCCCCAGCCTGGAGGCCTGGTCAGCAGGCTGCCTTCTGACCGCTAGGGGGCTACATGGCTACGGTCCATGCTTGTCCTCAAGCTGATGGCTCCCTGGTGTTCCTTTCTCCTGCCAGGCTGCATATGACAAGGTCAGGAAAGCCAAGAAGCAGGCAGCAGAGCGGACCCAGAAACTTGATGAGAGAAGGAAGAAAGTGAAGCTTGGTAGGTGACATCATGGTGCTGGGTGGCCTGTGGTTTCCCTGGGCCATCCGCATGCACCCCTCACCTTTCTTCCTAGAACTGCAGTTCTAGCATCTCAGCTTTTTGGCTGCAGCTCTGGGCAGAGCCCTGCTCTCAGGGTGGATCCTAAAGGACACTCTTAGGAATAATAACAATGACTAGATTTACTATTAGCTAGCATTGTGACCGATGCTTTACAGTCTCCTTTAATTATCACAACTATCCAAGGAGGTGGGTATTACTAAGTCCATTTTTTATAGATAAAGAAGCTAAGGCACTAAAAGGATAAGAACTTGCTGAAGCTGGGATTTAAACCCACGCAGTATGAGTAAAGTCTGTGTTCTTGTTCAGCATGCCATTCTGGGTCTTTTGATGCATTCCAGCCTCACTTCTGCACAGAGCTTTCATTCTTTGGAGGTGTATTTTTATTTTGGTGTATTTTGAATATCGTAACATCTACCCACTCCAAGCGTACAATTCAGTTATTTTTAGTAAATTTCCCAAATGGTGCAACTGTGACTATAAATCAGTTTTAAAATATTTTCATCACTGCAATAAGATTGTTCCAGGTAGTCTTTACCCAGTTTTTCTCCCCTTCTCCTTGTCTATTTGACATGCATATATTTAATATGTACATATACCATCCCAGTACATTTATCTTGCTATCAAAAACAAACAAAAAACCCAGAGATTCTAGGTAAGTAATTGCTCAGAGAAGAAAGCCATGAGTCCCAGGCCTGGGATGATGGTTTGTCACAGCACCTGGCCTGGCCTAGGGCCACAGCAGGTTTCTCTTAGAAGGTGGGAAGGGCTCCAGGTCATGGGGTGATGTGTGCTCGCTTCGGCAGCACATATACTAAAATTGGACATGGGGTGATGCCCTCACACAGAATCTGCTATCCCTATAGGAGCCACCATGGTTGGGTGGTAGATATGAGCTGAGAGGGAGGTAAAGAAGACAGTGGGGACTTGATCTCTGTGGTGGGAGAAACATCAACACCAAGGTTGAGGTCAGGTTGTGATGCCAAACCACAGGAACAGGCCAGCAGCTCCACCCTTGGCATCCCTGCCACATGGCCCTGGTCTGCTGACATAAGCACCCACCCACACCCTGTTCACTGATCAGAGAACCAGCTTGGTCAGCGTGAGCTGACTTAACTCTTCCAGACCCCAGCCACTGGAGCCTATATTTCATCTGTGCTATGACCTTTCTCAATTCAATAAACACTAACTTGAAAGCTCATGGGCATGGAGGGAGGGTGCAGAGTTACTATGTGTTTTGATCCTGCATGAGATTTTGGGCAGGCTGAGGACATGTAGAAAGTGCTCAGACCAGCCATTGGGTCACTCACCTCTTGTACCCAGACCTGGAGGCCCGAGAGCGCCAGGCCCAGGCCCATGGCAGTGATGATGAAGAGGAGAGCCGGAGCACCAGGACACTAGAGCAGGAGGTGAGCATCCAGGCATGCTCGCCTGAAGCCATCAGCAAGAGGAGGAGGGTGGGCCTAAGTGGCTGTCGTGGCGGGGATGGCATGCTCTCTCCCTGTTCTTCTGTGGGATCTGGGTAATCTGTCCCACCCGCAGGTTGCTGAGCCCTAGCTTACAGGTGGAGCTTCCCAGGGACCTTCACAAGGTGAGCCAACCTGGAATTGGATCTGCACAGAATTGTCACTCCCCCCAACCCCGCTCTGCAGATCGAACGCCTTAGAGAAGAGGGTTCCCGGCAGCTGGAGGAACAGCAGAGGCTGATCCAGGAGCAGATACGGCAGGAACGGGAGCAGAGGTTGAGAGGTAAGCATCCATCACCCCCACCCACTTGCCCTCTAAGGCAGCTCCAGATGCCAGAGCAGCCACACTGGCTGCTTGGTGGAGTTGCTATGGAGGCTTCCACCTGCTTGGAACCCTGGGGGCACCTGACTCACATATGCCACCTGTTCCTTCTTCCCACCACTTCTCTGAGGCCAATTGTCTTTCACTCTGCCTGAGATCTCCTGGCCCTTTTTGTCGGAGTCCTAAGCAGAGCTGGCTCTATTTTGGAGCAGATCAGTAGGGGAAAGTCTCTGGGATACTTTGTTTCAGTAGAACTGTGGCATTTGTGCCTCCATCTCATCCTCCAGGAAAGTGTTCAGAACCCTTCACTGGCAGAGTGCTAATCGTGGCCCTCAGCAGGCTGCTGGGCAGACCACCCCCAGGGTGGCAACTTCTCTGGATGGGGGTGGGATTGCCTCTACCTTCCCGGTGAAGCTCATCAGCAAGGCAGGCAGGCAGTTCTGGGTTGTGTCTCCTATAGAGAACCTTCTGGCTCCCTCCTGTCTACCTTGCTAATTTTCCCAAATTTTTTAGGAAAGGCAGAAAATCCTGAAGACAGAGGAACCCCCAAGCTAAAGGTGAGCCTTGTGGGATCCCTGAGGAACTGCATACTACCTCTTGCAGCAAGAACAGATGCTTCTGGGGGATTGAAGGGTTCTGGTAGAGACACTGGGTCTCTGGGAGCCAGCAGCACTACCCACATCCTTCCATCCTCCACTGCTTGGGGATCAGGATGGCCTCTCGGAGCTTGCCACGAAAGGCCCTCCTAGCCCTGGTGGTTGCTGGGCTCAGAAGCCCTGGAAGGAGAGCATCTCATAGGGCTGGAAGTGTGGCTTTGGGTGAGCAGGCCGTCCTGTCTGTCCATCTTCAAGAGGAACACGTTTTTGCGGGGGTGCCTCCTAGACTACAAGTGCCTGGAAGACTAAGTGCCTGGTGTCGCTCAGACTGTAAAGCTCAGGTGTGGCGCTGGGACCATTCAGGCCAAGGTCAGTGTTTAATAATGACCCTCCCTGCTGTCCTTTCAGCTAAAATGGAAATGCAAGAAGGAAGATGAGTCAAAAGGCGGCTACTCCAGAGATGTCCTCCTGCAGCTTTTCCAGAAGGTCTGCCCTGCTGCCTTCCCCTTTTCCCATTATCTCCATCTGCATCTCAGCTGAAACACCAAATCTCTGTGGGTAAACTTCCCTTAACATTTCTACCAGCCTTTTTTTCTGTCTCACAGACCATAGGGCAGCCTGGAGGCTTTCTCCAGCCATGGCCCTCCAGTCCCTGTGTTGCCGTGTGCCTTCCGCCCTGGTCTCACCTTCCCTGCCCAGCTCTCGCCCTTGCCATCTGAGTGTGTGGGGAGAGACGAGGTGGGCAGGTGGCACAAGACCCCCGTCCCCTTCCCCACCATCCGGGGCAGTCTGAGTCTTCTTCCTTTGCCCAGCTCTCCTTTGCTGTTCTTCCGTATCCCAGCAAAAATCTTCTTTCTTTCCCATCTCTGATCCCTCTCCGGGGATCTCAGCAACAAAGCATTATCCCCTAGCTAGAAATGCTCCAGCAGGCCTCAGGCCAATGCAGACTTGTCTTGCTCCTGAAGGCTGAGCCATGCTTACTGGGAACCCCTTGTCCTCACAGTACGGAGAGGTGCTCAACCTGGTGCTTTCCAGTAAGAAGGCTGGCACTGCCGTGGTGGAGTTTGCAACCATCAAGGCTGCGGTGAGTGTTGTGTGAGGCTTTGGGGGGCACTGGTGGCCCCACTATTCCAGACTAGGGAGCCAGTTCTGTGGGCCCTCTCAGCTTAGGTATCCACAATCCAACCCCATTCCTGGGAGTAGAGGTACAGCCAGTGAAGGTAAGGGCAGAAGAATGCTCTGGGGATGAAGGAGAGCATAGACTGACTCTGTTTCCTACTGCCTGGCTCTATACCCTCTGCCCTCCTGTAGAAGCTGGCATGCCTGTGAAGTTGCTTGGTTTTGCCTGGAGGATGAGAGTGGTGGTTCTAGTTCTTTCTGAGAGCCACTTTATAGCTGTTTGGAGCCGTGTGACCAGAACTGGGTACTGTGTTTGGCAGGAGCTGGCTGTCCAAAACGAAGTGGGCCTAGTTGATAACCCTCTGAAGATTTCCTGGTTGGAGGGACGGCCCCAGGGCACAGGGGACCCCAGACATGCAGGACTGTCACAGGTAAGGAACCATGCCTCTCAGCTGAGTCTGCTCAGGGTTTGAGGGACCTTTTCCTGTTTGGGCTCTTCTCAGGGCCCTTTCCTCCCAAATCCCAATTTGTCAGGAGCAGAGTGAGAAAGGCAGGTTTGCCAACCTGAACAGGACTGTGGTTCTGTTGTCTTCTTGTCTCTGAGTGCCAGGACCTACCCCGACCCCCCCTCCTCCCCGCCCAGAATTCTTAGACCTTACTTTCCCCACACGTCCCGGTCTCTTTTGGGCTCTCAGTGTCGCCCAGAGGGGCTTTCCTGGCCCATGGGCTGCTTTGCTGTGGTGAAGCATTCTTAGACTACCTGGTGCTGCAGGGAAGGAAAGGGCAGGCCATGTGAGCAGCTGCTTGCTCCCCAGCTCTGGTTCTTCAGGTGTGTCTGTGGCTGCTCCAGACAGGGGCTGACCATTAAGAGGCAGAATTTCCTTAGAAATGACGCCGGCTACCCTGCTGGCACTGGGGCACGGCCTGGGTGCACGCCTTGTGGTGAAACACAGATTGCTGCCGATTGGCGCTGGTGCTAGCTCTTAGTCCTCACAGCTTTCTGTGAGGGCTTTTGTTCAGCACCTGCACAGGCACACACACACACGTGGTCCTGGTCACACCACCCCACGTGGGTGGGACAGAGAGCATTTGGGCCCAGAGCTGTCCCTTCTCTGAAATGGCCTGCAGATCTGTGTGGGAGCCTGAGGCTGCTGTGTTCACAGCCTGCTCCATGAGGGGGGTGGGCCCCCAGGGGCTCACAGGGCTTTGCTCTCCTTGCCTCAGCCACACACACACACACCCCCCCCCCCTGTGCTCCTCAGCTGACTGTGAGGACGGGAAGCTCCCTAGGAGTGTGTCTCAGATCCTGGACAGGGGAGGAAGATAAACTGGTCAGAGCCCTTCTTTAGAGACCTCATTCCCCACTGTTAAGTTGCAGCATTTCACAGCCCCAGATGACGCTCCATAGGCCATGTTACAAAGAACTTTATTCATTATCTCCTGCATCCAGAGGGGAGCCTTTCAACTCAGCAACAAGTCCGCACAGAGGAGGGAAGGGGGAAGACACAGATCTGGGTATGAAAGCAGTGTGCATCAAAGCTTCCTCTCCCCCTCTGCCATGCTCAGAGAGGCCTGGAGGGTCAGAACCATGTGACCCATTGTGTTCTGGTTTCAAGTCTTCTGTCCAGGCCATAAGGCAGGGGCAGTAGCATACCTTTGGTCTTGACCAGTGGGCTCGGCGCTGGATGGCAGGCCCCCTTCATCAGCAGGTGTGGGCAAAGCAGAGCTCCCCAATCCTGGTGGAGGATTCTGGAGACTAGCTGAGCTCCTTGACTGTAACAGTCACGAATTTCATGTCCATCCTTGATCCAGTCTTCCTAAGCTCTTTGGGCAGAAAAGGAAATCTGCCACTTTTGCTGCTACATTTCCCAAGTGTTCCCATCACTAATAATTCTGGGAACTCCTCCAAGCAGCCCTTTGCAAGCTGTGTCTGTCCTTGGGCTGGCGTTCCCTACCACCACCTGCCTCGGCACCAGGGAGTGCCGTGGGCAGCTGCGTTGGAGGCTTGTTTCTTTTGTCCCTTTTCTGCAAATGATTTGTTTGGCTTTCTCCCAAGTATAAGAGTACAACTCGGCCCCTCTGCATGCCTCACCAGCCCCTCCCTTCCCCTGCAGGTCCTGTTGAGCTCCCCCTCTCCACCACCCCGTGCTGCGGCACTTGTGGCTCCAGGCTGTGGTCTAGACCAGTGCTGCCCAGTAGGGCTTTCTCGGGTGATGTCCGTGTTCAACCTGCACTGTCCTGTGGTACCATTAGTCACATGTGGCTGTTGGACATCTGAAATGTGGCCAGTGCAACCAAGGAACTAAATTCTTAATTTTACTTAATTTCAATTTGAACAGCCACAGGTAGCCAGTGGCTTTCCCCTCAGGTCTTCCCACTTTGCTCTTTGGCCTGGGTTGAACCGCTCTTGCCTAGACCTATCCTGTGATGTCTCTCTGTTAACCGTGGCTGCAGAGGGGGCTGGTGCCGGGCACCTGACTGATCTCTGCAGTCCATATATCCTCCTCTCCCCAACTCCCCCCCTGTTGGTCTGTGCCTGCTTTCTATGGTTACAGGCATGGCCTCCCTTTCCCACCCTGGCCAACTGCCTTCAGGGCTCCTGCCAGCAAGTGCCCCCTCACAGCACTTCCAGCTTGTCTCTGTGCCTCTGTCCCCCCGCTCCAGGGTGACAGAGAAGACTGTTCAGGACCTGGAGGGCAGGCAGGATCCTGGATTCTTATCCCTATCTTTTTCTTCATATGGAACTGACCCCTCCTTCCTGGGTCTCCAGGCTTCTGCTCTTCCAGTTACCCCACCACTGCCCACCTGCACCCCATTCAGAAGCTAGGTTCACTTGGAAATTGCTCCCTCAGCATCTGTAGAACTTCCTCAAGAAGTGAAATCCCCAGGTCCACTTTGAAGGAGAAGAAGGGATCATTGAGGTCTGGAGCAGGTGTCCTCTGGGAAGGGGGAGTGTCCAAAAAGTTGTCCTCAGAGTAGTGGTGGAGGGCACCCGCCAGGGACAGCGCTGAGGGCAGGGTGGCCGAGTAGTCAGTGGTGTAGGCAGGTGGGGGCTCCAGGATGTTGGGGCAGCTGGAGCTCTCTCGATAGAGGCGTGGAGGCTTGGGTGGGGCCAGCAGGGTGGCCCGGGGCTGCTCGTCCCCCCACAGAGGCAGGCGCCGACCATCTGGCCGGCCTCGCAACTCCCGGATGACCTCTCGGTTGCTATACTCCTCATGGTCCCCACCAGCTGTGCTCGCCTGGCTAAGCACACTGCCCTGTCGCCGGAGTCGCCTCGGCCGCCCCAGGCTCAGCCGCTTGAAGAAGGAGGCGTTGCGGAAGGAGCCTTTCCGCCAGGTCTCCATGGCACCCTGGGGAGCCAGCAGACAAGCCTGGTACCTCAGCAGCCCAGTTCAAGAGAAGCTAGGGACCATTAGGTTCCTGCTGGAGCAGCAAATGGCAAGAATCCGGAGACAGCCCTAGTGGGCTAGAAGCACAGACTTTTGGCCAGCATCTTGGAGGGTGGGAGGAGATCCTGGGAAGAGGATGCTTTTGTCCAGGAGAGCAGAGAGGTGGGAGTTCCTGGTGACAGGGGTCTCCCAGAGTGACAGGAGTGGCCTGGTGACTTGATAGGGCAGTGAGAAAAAAACCCAAGAGGAAGAAGCAGCACTTACTGGAGTCAAAGTGCAGGGGGCTCCCTGAGGTGCCAGAGCTGGATCTTGAGGTGCTAGGGCAGCCTGTACAGCTTCCTCAGCATCCAGCTTCTCCAGGTGGGCCTGAGTTCACCTTCCCTCCCCGGCCCCTGCCCTTGGCTTCAGGGCAGCGCGGGGCCAGGCCTCTCTGCCGCAGCTCCCGGACTCTGATTAGTGGCTTGGCTGTTTGTGCCAGTATGCGGCAGTGGGGATGTGTTGTTTTCAGGTGACTCAGTCAGGTGGGAAGCCGGGTTTCATGCTCTTAGGTAATTGCAGCATCCGGGGACCGGGATTGGGCCAGCTGTGGCCAACACCCCAGGGCAGTGGGGAGCTTTGGATTCCCCTGAGGGAAGGGGGGCAGGACTGGGGGCAGGACTGGGGGCAGTCCTGCTTTGTGTCACCAGTTGCCTCCTTTTGCCCCCGCAGCCGTATGGCCTCAGAGCCCTAGCTGGTGGGCCTGGATCCCCAACCCCGCTCCATCCCCCAAGTGTCTGGGAGGGAGGAGCTCAGGGAGGGTGGGAATTAATTGAAAGGCAGGCATGTGGAACAGTTGTTGGGGAAGGAAGAGACCTGTCACTGGTGTGGGTGACTCAGTCCTGAGGCCTGGTGACGGCCCTCATTAGCCAACCCTGCAGGTATGAGGGGGAAGAGGCAGAGGGTGTATTAACGGGAAGCAGCCCCATGCCTATAAAGGGCTGGCTCCTCCCTTGGCTGGGCTCAGGGCATGCCTGGGTGACTCTTAAGTTTGCTCTGCAGAGCAGCATTACCTGAAGGTGGGAGAACTGTTGTCCCCTCAGCCTGCCGCCAGGCAGTTCCTCAGCTTCCCGGATTTACTCCTCAGGGTAGGGGAGAGCACTTGAGGGCCACGGTCCTGCTGCTTCCTATCCTGCCTTGCTCCAATCCTTTCCCTTGGGTTGCCTGGGCCTTATTTGGGGACCCTCTGTAGAAAAGGCTGGGCCACATGGGGCTACACTATCAGCAGTGCCTGGGCCTGGCTGGGAGGGCACCTGTTCTTGGCGCTGCCACAGCCTGGGACAGATGAGAAGGCTGGGACTGTCGGAGAAGTAGGGGGATCCGGGCTGAGTCACACTTCCTGGTTCTGTACAGCCCTTGCTTCAAACCTGTTGGCCACGGTCTGGCATATTAACCCCAGCCACTCCCTTCATAATCCCCAGGTCACTGACCACTGAACTTCCCTCCCTGGCTTTTTCCGTGAGTGCACACTCACTGGGTCTCGAACACGGCTCAGCAGTCGGCCCTGCGTTGCAACCCCTGGCCTGGCTCACTTCTGCGCCAGTTCGGGTGGGCTTCACACTTCCCACACCTCTTCATGGAAGAGGTGATTTCATTCCCACTGCAGACCTTATCAGGGTGTGGAGTTGGTGGATCAGAGCTCCGCCAGAGCTGTCGCTCCACCCCACAGCCTTGGTGCACTGGGTTGGTTGTTTATTATTCTTTTGATTACTAACGTAGAGCACTCTTTAATCCCCCGCACTGTGCTGGCAAGATCATAAAAGAAAAAGACACAGGCTCTGCCCTCCGGCAGCCCTGGTGTGTATTTTTAGGAGGCAAGCGGCCTCATGCTTGCTTCTCCCAACGCCAGGCCCATTGAGGCTGCGTCTAGGGTAGGGCTCCCTCCCCTCCAGCCTGGCAGGAGCCTGGCAGGAGCCCGATGGCGGGAGGGAGGCAGCTGGGAGGGGCTGTGCTCTTGGAGTACGTTTCTGCACCTCGCACAACCCCTTCACCGGAAACCGGTGAGAACCAGGAAAGGAGTGTCAAATACAGGACAGGGAGGAAATGAAGGGAGCCAGGGCCTGGCTGGCCATGGAGTGTGATTCAGCCCCAGATGAGAAGATGGAGCAGGGCTGACCCATGGAAGGCCTGGGGGCGGGGGGCCGAGAGCTGCTGGAGATGGACGAGGGGAGCCCGCTGACAGGGCCCGGGCGTCCTCACTCCTTGACTCAGGTTCAGCCTAGGCCCAGTCCTGCAAGTCTGGAATGCGGGGCTGTGCCCTGCGGGCACGGCCCTGACCGCTGGTGCCCCACTGTGTCCCCCAGGGCTCTGTGCTGTCGGAGAGGGACTACGAGAGCCTCGTCATGATGCGCATGCGCCAGGCTGCTGAGCGGCAACAGCTGATCGCCCAGATGCAGCAGGAGGAGGAGGTGGGGCAGCCCACCTAGCCCTCAGCCCCAGTGCACTCACCCACAGCCCTTTTCTTAAACGTCACCAATAAACTTTGTGTTTGTTTTTTTTTTTTTTTACAAGAGTCTATCTCTATTGCATATGTAGGTGTAGGGTGCTGGCTCACTCATGTGTGGCCCTGGTTCCTGGGCTCTGCCTGAAAGGGTTTCCCCCAGACCTGCTTCTCCCTTCCCGGGGGAGGGCAGACGTCGCAGGAGGCGTTCCACAGAGCGAGGGTCGGTGGGCCAGCAGAGCAGAGGAGCCACCATTCATCACAGTCCTTTATTGGCTTGGACTAGCTCCACAGGACCCTCCTGCCCGTCCCAGGGCCATCCTCCTGCAGGACTCCCTGGTCCCGGCCAGGGACAAGCTGGCTCTTCAGGCCCCTCAGCCGGCTCGCAGAGCACAGCCTCCTCCGGGGCTCTCAGCCAGGCGAGAAGCTGGAGGGGCAGCTGGCTGCGGGGGACGGGGGCCCTGCCTCTCCCACTGGCTGAGGCAAGTTTCAGCAAAGGCCATTCACTGCCCAGTGCCACCAGGCTAAGGAAAAGGACAAGTCGGGAAGAGAGGGGCCAGGCAGTGAGTGACTGGGGGTTCAGGACTGGGGCCCATGGCAACCGCTCAGAAAAGGGGTGCTCGGCGTGAGAGTCACTCCTTGTGCAGGCACCACACCAGTGTCTGGCCCACCCCTGTCATGCTCAGCACACGGAAGCCCTTGCGTTCCAGCTTGTCCAGGACAATGCGGGGAGGATCGTTGACAAAGTACTCATAACTGTGAAGAGAAGGGGGAGAGGGGACAGCGTGAGGGGGACAGCAGAGACCCCATACACACCTGGTATCTGCTGATGGCGAGGCCTGGGCAGGAGTCCTGGTATTTGCTGAGTGCCTTCTAGGTACTGGGCTAAGTGCACACTCCTTGCCCCCTTCCCTGTTAAGCACATGGCTTGCATATTTTGTTTCTTCTTCCCAACAACCTACAGAAGGTTCCCGTTTTATAAATAAGAAATCTTGGAGGGGTTGGGTTGCTTTCCAGATGTCATACAGAACCCATGTAAGTCTGCTGACAGCCCCATGTGCCCTGGGCCACTGTACTATTTAGGAGGAATGGCCTTTTCTCTCAAGGCCCTCCTACCCTGCCAAAGGGCTCTGCCCTGCAGTCCTGGAGCAACAAGTTGGCCCCTAATAGCTCCTGGCTCTGGGTGCTGCTCCCTAGCACAGAGAATGCTTGCTGTCCCTCCTTTCAGGGTTAACTGAAGGTGAAGGGCTCCAATCAGATAAAGAGCTGGGCATCTTGAGATAAATGCCTCATGGTAAAGGAATGGGGTTGGCTTCAGCCCTCCAACCTTGACCCAAGGGGCTCCTCCTTCCCCTCTTTGAACTGGGGCTCATTCTTGCAACATTTCTCATGAGTTCCAAGCCCGTGGAGCTGGTATGAAGAATGCCAGGGGAAGTGGCCAAGTTCCCAGGCAGCAGCTGAGCTGGAGGTAGGACCCAGGCTGCCCGCAGAGTTGAGCTTTCTTACTCAGCCAGTTCAGGACAGAAACCTTTCTCTCTGTGCCTGTCTTTGTCTCTATAGGGTCCAGCTTCAAGATAAGAGGACAGGATAAGGAGTATTCCACTTACAGAGTCCTCCATCCAGTCTGACTCTGTCCTGGGGTTCCCTTGTGAAGGGAGGGCCAGTGAGAAAGCTTTCAGAGCAAGCCTGGGGGCTGCAGTAAGACCACAGACAGGACCAACCCTCAGAGGACGGAACCCCATGGTCCCGGCAGGGCCTCTGAGGCTGGGCAGTAGCATCATCCCTGGGCTTGGTTGGGTAAAGGAATTAGGAACAGGTCTTGGGACCAGCATAGAAAAGATCCTTAGGAATGCCATTACTTACAAGTTGTTTCCCAGGACGCTTCTCTTTGAGGCCCCCAGATAGCGCATCAGCTCTGGATCTGAGTGCTCATCACCCACCATGGTAGGGCCCACCTCCTGCAAGGTAAGCCACAGTGGCTGCTGGGCTGGCTGCCAGAGAGATGTGGAAGGTCTCCGTCCTTCCTCCCCTGCCTGCTGGCCCTGAGCCAGTCTCAGTTGAAGGCTGGTGAGGGTGCTGAGGGACCTGGGGGCTAAGCACAGGCTGGGGAGGGGTGGAGCCCTCAGTGTTCAGGCAGGGCAAGGTGAGGTGTCCCTAGCCCCTCCAAGCTGAGCTGCACGTTGTCCGCCTACTGGCAACTTCCTACCAGCCATCACTACCCATGTTTGTGTATATCAGAATCACCTGGAAAACAAATGAAATATACGTCCCCATAAAAACTTATACAGGAGTGTTCAGAGCAGCACTGATTCACAAGACCCAAAAAAGTGGAAACAGCCTAAATGTTTGTCAGCTGACAAATGGATAAAATAAACTGTGATGTAGCTACACAATGGGATCTTACTTGGCAAAAAAGAGGAATGAGCATCCTACAATATGGATGAACCTTGAAAACCTGGAAGTGAAAGAAGCCAGGCCCAAAAGACCATGTATTACCATGGAAAGTAGATTAGTGGTTACATAGGGCTGGGGGCTCGCGGGTGCGGGTAGTGAGGAGTGACTGCTAAGATACAGGGTATGGGTACAGGCCTTCTTTTCAAGGGGATGAAATGTTCTAAAATTATGGTGATGGCTGCACAACTCTTGAGTATGCTTTAAAAATACTGTACACTTCAAGTTGGTGAATTCATGACCTATGTATGCTATATATCAACAAAGATGTATTTATATATATTTACATACATATTTACATATATACACACACACATATATTTATATATATTAAAAATCCCCCACAGAGCACTGAATGCCCGAGCCCCAGGCTTAAAGGGTAGTTTGGGAGGTCTGGGAAGGGGCCCAGGAGTGCACATTTTAACTGCACAAGTATCTGGTTCTCCAACCACCGCCCTAAGACACTGCCAGGGCCTCACCTGTGCGCGGTGACCTCGCGCCTCGCCCCCACCCCCCCCCCGCCCGCCCCCACCTCCACCTCAAGGGAGCTGTGCACCTGCTGACGGATCACCCAGCACTTAGGGAGTGCGAAGGGACGCAGGTGCCGGCTGGGGTGCCCAGTCATACCGTTCTGAAGTTAAAAGGTTTCTGGGGCGACCAGCACCGTCTTGGACCAGGAAACTGCACCCAGAGAAAGGGGCGTCACTTCTGACTCCGAATGGTCTCCCCCTCCTTCTCTCCTAAAGCCTTTCAGGAAGTGCCCAAGGATGCCGTTAGTGGCTGTAGGTGGGCCAGGCGCTTGGCAGAGGTGTTCTGGCGTCTTGGCGCGTCTTTTCCAAACCTCTTTCCCCCAGTACTTCCGCCCCCCCCCCCCCCCCCCGGCGGAGCTGCTCTGCGTCGGGCGGTGGGTGCTGCCCACGTGAGGCCAGGGCGCCCTGGCTTTCTCGGGCGGGCAGGTGGGGCAGGAGCCGCAAGCGCCCCGGGTCACTCGGCCGCGGGGACGCCGCACACCACCCGCTCGCCGTCCGGCCAGAGCTCCCCGGGAGCCCGGCGGTGGGGGGGGGGCGCCCCCGCCCCGCCGCCCGAGGGGGCGTGTCCCGGGCGGCTTCCGGCCCGGGTCGCAGGCGGGCGCTGCCCGAGAGGGAGGGACCGAGGTGCGGCGGCAGCGCCGCGTGCCCCGGCCGGGCCCCAACTCTGTGCCAACTCGCGGGGCGGCGGCTACTCACCATGCGGATCTGGGTGCTGATGAGCACGTAGGGCATGGTGCGCGCGCACGGGCCGGGCTCCCACCAGGGCTTCGGGCTGGCGCCGACGCCTGCCCCTCGGCCTCCGGGACTGCTGCCCCGCGCGCCGAGTCCACTTACTCCGGCTCCGGCCTCGGGCGGCCCCAACCCCAGGGCGCCCGGCCCGTGACCGCCGCGCCGGCCAATCAGGAGCAGGCGCCCGTGACGCGCCCCCGCACTTGACGATACGGGGCCCGCCTCCTGCCCTGGGGGCGCTGCTCCCGGACCCCGGCGCGCGCCGCTGCCGGGAGGAGGGAGAGGCCCGCGGGGCTCGGCGGCTGCCGCGGCCCTTGCGCCCTCTTTCCGCGCGCCTCGGGCCCTGGGTTCCAAAGTCCTGCTGCTCCCCGCCCCCGCCCCGTCCCCGTGAAGCAGAGCGGGGAGCAGTCGGCGACCCTCCCGAAGGTCTCTCCCAAGCTCCAGCCCACCCGGGACACCTTAAAGCCCCGGGCAGATCCCCACTCCCCGTCCCAGGACGCGGTCTCCGCGGACTCCGTCGGCGCTCGGGAGCCCGGGGCGGGGGGTGCGGGTGCGGCCACTGCTGAAATCCCACCTCGCGCGCCGGCGTCTCCGCCTCTGGCTCTGATTCCTAACACAGCGCCCGAACCTCGCATTTCTCTGCCCCCCCCCCCCCCGCCCGGTACATCGGTAAAGGGACTGAGCCCTCGGCTGTGCGCCGGTCGCGCGGGGCTTGAAAGCGACGGAATGTGGCCCTCACGTCGGAGAGCGCCCCGCCAGGCCGACGAGATGCGGCGCGCGGGAAGAATCCGAAAACTCACCTTCCCCGGCCCCGGAACCACCTTCCTGTCCCTGAAGGGCCCTCGGAGGGCGCGCTCTGTGCCTGCGGCAGCTTCACGGCCGGGAGAGCGCGGCAAGGGAAGCCGGAGGCTGCAATCCTAAAGGACTCTTACTGGTCTAATTGATTATTCCGTACTTTCTACCACTATTCCTCACCTCCAAGACTAACAATTTAGCTAGAGAGATCAGATAGTCACGCCTCCCAAAGGGTTCGTTAAACTGACAAACGATTAATACTCAGGATGTATTAAGAACTCCTGCAAATCAACAAAAGACAAGTCAATAAAAAAAATTAAAAAAAAAAAAAAGGGATCCCTGGGTGGCGCAGCGGTTTGGTGCCTGCCTTTGGCCCAGGGTGCGATCCTGGAGACCCGGGATCGAATCCCACATCGGGCTCCCGGTGCATGGAGCCTGCTTCTCCCTCTGCCTGTGTCTCTGTCCCTCTCTCTCTGTGACTATCATAAATAAAATAAAAAAATTAAAAAAAAAAAGACAAGTCAATAGAAGAAACATGGGCAAATGACTTGACTAGACACTTTCAAAAGAGAGAATGGAAATGGCCAATAAACCTATAACATGACATTCAATATTATTAAAAATCCCAGATATGCAATCAAACTACATTTTATTTTATTCTTTTAGAATTTATTTATTGGGGTGCCTGGATGGCTCAGGTCATGATCCCGGGGTCCTGGGATGGAGCCCCACATCAGGCTCCTTGTTCCACGGGGAGCCTGGCTCTCTCTCTTTCTGTCTAATAGATAGAGACAGACTGCACCACAAGGAGGGGCAGAGAGAGGGAGAGAGACAGTCTCAAGCAGACTCATGGGCTGAGTTCAGAGTCCATACTGGGCAAATCCCACCACCCTGAACCCTGAGCCAAAACCAAAATTCCAAGGCTTAATCCACTGAGCCACCCAGGTATTCTTCAAACTACATTTTAACTGAGTGCCTGGTGGCTCAGTCGGTTAAGCATGTACCTTTGGCTCAGGTCCTGATCCTGGGGTCCTTGGATTGAGTCCTGAGTCAGGATCCCTGCTCATCCGGGAGCCTGCTTCTCTCTCTCTCTGCCCTCACTTCCCACTTGTGCTTGTGCTTTCTCTAATAAGTAAAATCTTACAACAACAACAACAACACACTACATTTTAAACTACAATGAGATACTACTTCAGTGATTTGCCAAATCAATCAATCTGTAGACATTGAGTATTGGTGAAAAGGTCTAACAACTGGAATGCTACTGTTGGAATTGCTAAGTGTTGTGATTGATACAGTCACCTTGGAAAACAACTTGGCATCATCTAGCAAGGCCGATGTGCATGGGTATGACCCAGCTAAATGCCTCCTAGATAAACCTCAAGAAAACTCACTCATCAGGATACTTGTATTAGAATATTCATCACAGCACTGTACGGACTTAGCAAAAAAAATGGAAAAGGTCTTTATGTTCATCACAAGTGGAGTACGTTTTTGGTTGATTGATACAGGGAAACTGCATAGTGATGAAAAATGCTAAGTGAAAAAGTAAATTCTGGGAAAATAGAGAATAATTCTACCTGAAGCTCAAAACCTGCAAAACTAAACAATACATTGGAGATAAAAACATGATTAAATTATACCTCAATAAAAAATATGTAGTTAAATTATAAAGAAGAGTAAGGGAATGATAAATGTAATATTCAGGGCAGTGTTTACCTCTGAGAGAAGTAAAAGAAACCAGGCAGGGACAGCCATTCAGGAGTCTTACAAGGCAAAAGCGATGTTCTCTTTCTCACAGTAGGACCTGGGTGCTAAGGGTTATACATGTCCTCAGTCTTTATTGTATTATATGTATGATTTTTTTAGCCATTAAATATTTAATAAGAACAATTGTTTAAGTGTCAATTACCTTAGTGGTTAGACGCTGGGGGACGGGGGGAGTCACTGTCTGAGGCATTTGACTATGTTGCCTCTCTTGGAAGAGCCACGTGGGCAGATCTCTGGCTGTTTGGGGCAGAGATGAGAACAGGAATTTGGGGTCTGCTCGGCTTTCCTCTCTCTGGTCAGGATGGGGTGAGGAGGAGGAGACAGGAAGGCAGTGCATATCTCAGGCTGCCAGGGCTTTATTACATTTGCAAAACTGGTCTGCAGATGCCACACAAGATACAGAGCTCGCTCCATCCAGAATCACCCACCCCGCTGCTGACTGCTCTGGCAGCCACATGCCTACCAGATAACATCTTTAATATCCAGGGGGAAATGAATTCCCCCGCTTCGTCTGCCCATCTGGCCTTGCCTCTTGCCACAATTTATCTGGCAGATCTTTCTCCCCTGCAGAAAAAGGAGAAATTGTTCTTCTACAACTCAGTTTTTCATCATGAAAGCATTATCTAAGTGGCCAGGCCTGGATATTGGTTATTCTTTCTTTCCTTTCTTCCTCCACATTCAGCTTCTATGGGTGGCATCTGCATTGGAGCTCAGGGGATGTGGAGATGAATTGAGCACGAACCCCATCCTGGAAGAGTGAACACTCCAGTTGGGTAGCCAGACTAGAAAGCAAATAATCATGGCACCAAATGTAATGGAGGTAACGAAGCTCCAGGAATAAAGAAAAACAAAAGATTAAGTCCACTAAGGTGGTAGTCTGGGAAGGTTCCCCAAAGGAAATGGCTTTTTATTCTCTCTAAAAGTTAATATTTCTTTCTTATTACTAAGGAAACACATGCTTATCTCTGAAAAAATGAGAAAAAATTATGGGAAAAGTCTCTAAAAAACACTCTTTTCTCACCAGCAAGACAATTATAGTGTATTTCAGGATATACCAACTGAACTAAATCCTTAAAAATTAATAGGTGGTATTGGTAAATTTCTATTCCTTAAGCTGTGGGGTGGGAACCTTGTTGTCTTTAATTTGTTCTTGTTTGTTACAGTGTGCATTATATTAAATGTACTCTCTTATTTGTAAAATATCTCACAATTAGAAAGTAAATAGAAAATCTAGTCAAGGATTTGAGAAGGACTCTTAGATGTTTCAGCTGTGTCTAAACAAAATTTTAACTTGAAAGAAATCTGATGGTAAAATTGGAATCATACTCCTGTATTTTCAGTTTTTAAAAATATAAGAAGTTACATAAAATCTCAAAAGTAAAGTGGAATTATAAAAATCAATGGGCCATGGTGATGTTAATATAAAATAAAAATAAAAACTTTTTAAAAAAGATTTTATTTATCCATTCATTAGACACAGAAGAGAAGCAGAGGGAGAAGCAGGCTCCCTGCAAGGAGCCCAATGCAGGATTCGATCCTGGACCTCAGGATCACGCGCTGAGCGGAAGGCAGATGCTCAACCGCTGAGCCACCCAGGCGTCCCTAAAAATAAAAACTTAAAACTGTCAGTTATTTTACCAGCAAAAACATAGATTTATTTATTAGGAATAGCAGAGGTTTGCAATCCAGGACAAGGAACCTGCAACAAAACCCTAGGCAAGTTCAACAAGAAGAGGAATGTTATTTTATGGAAAAGAAAGAATTTGGGAGGAGTTGTTTTGAACACCAACCTATTGAAGAGAAGCAAGAGTTTAGGGTGATGATGGTTTCTCATTGGCGGGTTTGTAGGGGCAGGGTAGCCCATTTATTGCAGGAGATGCAATGTACATCTTTTTCTGTGGGAGCCTGTAACTTATGATTCTCTTCTGTTGAGATTCTCTTTTTAGGGGTCTGTAATTGACAATTCTTCCTGTAATTGACATTAAGTGGTATAGTTGCCCCTTCCAGCCTTCCTTTCTAGCAGCCTGTGTCCACTTTAGTGGTTTCCCTTTATTAATTTTCGCAATGGACACAGAAATCCTGAAGAATACAGATTTTTTAAAAAATGAAATGGTTTCTGAGTCAATTTAAGCAGAGATCAACTCAAGTTTCAGCCAAGTGCTTAAAAAGTGTTATCATTAGAAGAATGAATCTCATTTACATTTTGGAAATGGAAAACCAATTTTTTTTTTTTAGATTTTATTTATTTATTCATGACACACACACACACACAGAGGCGGAGGCAGAGGCAGAGGCAGAGGCAGAGAGAGAAGCGGGCTCTCTGAGGGGAGCCCCCGGGGGACTCCATCCAAGGACCCTGGGATCACGGCCTGGGCCAAAGGCAGACACTCAACCACTGGGCCGGCAACCCAGAAAACCAATTTTTAACCCTGTTTCTTGATTAAGGTGCTACGGATCATATAAGGTTCAAGGTTTTTTTTAGTGCTGGGGTTTGCATCTGTTTTATGAATTTTTAAGCGCCAACCGGCA